TTCTCTATTCTTATTCTACTTATTTGATCCATATTAATGATGAATCGTTAGTGTTTTGATGGATGACATGAAGAAGAAGAAGAAGTAGAAGAAAAGATAATCATCATAAAAGAAAACTGTTTTCCAAATTTTCCATCTAAATATCTAAATATATGATTAAATTCAATTAATTACACGACTTTATTTTATATCAAATCTATATCATGTATCATATTATAGTGTGGTATGTACTACTGATGTTGACAGATATAAGTAGTATATATGAACGTTAAATATCGGATGGTAGAAGGTTAAGAAGATCAAAGAACAAAGAATGATTGATGTGAAAATGAAATAAAAATGAAATTTGAGATGATTGATTGAGGTATTTACTGTATACAACAAGATGCTCTGTAATCTTATATATCGGAATATATTCGATTAGTCCCCATTTGATGTTCTCAGTTCATGACAAATATGAACCCGGTTATTGTGATCATTCAATACAGAAATGATCGATTTTTTTTAAAACGAAATTAAGTGCTATTTCGAAACTTGATTTAATGATCATTATAGATAATCAATTGACTAAAACATAAATAACTATTCAATTGGTGTGGTTTAGTTGAATGTTCGGGTAGGCATATATACATCGTGTTTGGATTGTCTCGATATAGCCTTAAGTCACAAGAATTTAAGCAAATATGGACAGTGGCTAGTAGTGGAATCTAGTTTGAAGCACACCAATTTGTCCTATTTGAGATTCGTCAGATGGATGTAACTGCATTCCAAAGTTGATGTTCACTCCGAGACTCGAACCCAGTACCGTTCGCTTCAAACGCCATCAATTGGAGAACGCGATAGCGTTTGAAAGGAACGGTACTGAGTTCGAGTACATCCAGCTGACGAGTCCCAAATAGGACGAAGCAGCTCGCGTCATGTATTCCACTGCTAGTCACTATCCATCACTGTTTACACTATAAAAAGCTTGTAAATTAAGGCAATATCGAGCCAATACACACAGTATGCATATATGCCAATAAGAGATTGGTCAATTTCAGTCTTAAACCTCAATGGGAAGATTCAAGTAACAACAACATCAAGTGAATTATTTTATTGTTCATTGTTTTATGTACTAATATGAAATTTGTCATTTTGAACTAACCACTAATGATAATCAATCCCCATCAATATAAACATGAACAGGATTATAGATTATTGGGGAATACTGGTTGGTAGCCTATACTCCATACCTGTAACTCAGGCAACTAAATTCATCAGGGTTCATAGATAATCCATCTCATTTTCTGTTTGATGTGAACAGAGAAACAAGATGCCTTGACAAATTACAAAAGCTATTTTGGGGGGACGTTATTTCAGTTAATTTAATCCTTAGTCTATTCTACAGAACATAAACTTTCGTTTAATGAATGATTTATTACCATAGTCCTTTTTTGTTCCAAAGCTACTGTCATTTAAACGTAATCTTTTGTACTCTACTTTCTACCTTAATGCCCACTTTTGGATAATAATTGTATTTTAATAGTTGAAATCATGTGTCGTTTGAAGCTAAACCAACATGGAAAACTTGGAAGCACTAGATGGTCGTTTCGTCCTATTGTGGGAATCCTCGGCAATGCGCATCCACGATCCCGCTACCCCCGGGATTCGAACCCAGGACCTATCAGTCTCGCGCGCAAGCGTTTAACCATTAAGACCAGTGAGCCAGCATCCAGCGGCTTTAATGTCTGACTTCAACCAATCCACAAAGTTGAGCCGCCGTACACCAATATCTTCAGTGAGTTGATATCTCAAAACAGACCTAGTTGAACTCCACTGGTAACGGCTTCTCACTAGAACTCTAGTTAATGCCTCTTGAAGTCAGTCACTAGTGAGCAGATTATTATTATTAGAAAAGGTTTTGTGGAGATTTTTCTAGTCCCACACTAGAACGAAACGGCAGTCCAGTGCTTCCAGGTTTTTCATGGTGGTCTAGTTTTAATTGATTCATGATCTCAACAATTGAAATCACTAAACTCTCCACAAAACCCCCCTTCTGATAGTAATTGTATTTTCCTAATTGTTTGTATGTTTTTGTCTGATTAGTCATCTATTTATTGATGTATCTTTTCCAGATTGATCTGAAATCGGGAATCAGATCGGAACTAACAGTAAATCGAATAGTGTTCCAGTTGACTTGTCTTCTCTCACTCGCGTACTTGTTAGCCAATCAGTTGATAGAATAGTTTTCGTCTCTCTACCCCACTCCGAACTTACGTATACATACTAGCCTCAAGGTTAAACCAGTTAGCCTATCGAGTCAAGGTGTTAATCTAGATTGAGACTTGTTAGCCTCAGCACTAAAAGTGAGTAGACAGATCAAGGACGTAACTATATATGATATACCTGTATCTCAGGTAACTAAATTCATTGGGGACCATAGATGGTCTACCTCATTTCCTTTTATATAGCCTCTTAAGATTAATCTATCATGTATGCTATCAGTAACAAGTATATTTGTTCAATTCTTGTTAGTGAACTATCCTAACTAACTTATCTATCATCTCAACTATTGTATATCCATCATAAAACTGATTATATTGTGTGTTAAGATTGTAAGCGAGAAAATGAGATTGTATTAAAACAAAATGGATTATCAGTATAATCAATTAACAGAAATCTGTTCTAATCTAATCTTTAATCAATTGAATTATTTATAGACACATGTATAAGTTGTAAGTACGATTCATTCAATAGTAGAATGTATTAAATAGATTCATAAAATTGTGTCAATGTCCATCATTATCTTCAGTGAGTCATTACCTATGAGGATGGTCTACAGATGAACTCGAGGAAGCTGTAAGAAGCTCAGAAAGAGCCGAAGATATCACATCCAATCTCCTTATGGGTGAATATCCCGGAATATTTACATGTAGCTTCCCGATTGGACAATGATAATAACCCCCTGTTTGCGAATTGGATATCTATCATGATGATTTCATTTTTACTAACAAAAACTATAATTACCTGAGGGTTTTGTATCATATTTGACACTGTTTGGAATAACATCCCTTTCCTTTGTCTTCTGTCTTCTCATTTGCTACTTGGAAGGGTACTAGCGTTTAAATGCTTAAGTTATATGTGGCATATCACGAATATAAGCATCTCACAATAGACACGGTTAAACTCTACTGGTCACAGATTCTCGCTAGAACTCCAGGGAATACCTTTTGAAGTCATTCACTAATGACTTGCGCAATTTTGTGGATTGGTTGAAGTTGAACATTACCACTGGTGGATGCCAGCTCAATCGACTAGATACTAAGTGTTTGCTCATGAGACCGATCCCATGAGTGGAATCATGGATGCGCACTGCTGAGGAGTCCCATATTAAAACGAAATAGCTTTCCAGTGTTCCCAGGTTTTCTATTCTAGTCTAGCTTTAATTGACTGATGAATTCAACTATTAAATTACTAAAGATCTCCACAAAACCCCTCTTTGATATTAAACAAATAAAAATTAGGTTAACCAAATATAAAGTGCATTTGAGAAGTAATAAAGTCCACATTATAAATCAAAACTATACTGAAAAAAATAGATCTCAAAGGGCATGACTACTATCAAATTCCAGTCTTTCTTGTTGTAACCATTCATGACAAATTCTGAATTTAACTTGTTTGTAAATAGTTTAAACTAATTTCAATGATTAAAATCATAAGTCAATTAAAGCTAGACTACCATTGGAAACCTGGAAGCACTGGACGGCCATTTCGTCCTATTATGAGACTCCTCAGCAATTCGCATCCACGGCCTCGCCCCCTGCAAGGTTCGAACCCAGGACCTACTGATTTCGCGTGCTAGCACTTAACTACTAGATCACTGAACCGGTTGGCATCCAATGGTGTTAATGTCTAACTTTAACTAATCCACGAAATTAAGCGACATATCCACTAAACTAAGAAATTATATCTATTTTGTACAATCATTCTCAGGAACATGTTGTTAGATAAACTGTATTGTTACTTCTGAATTAATTGATCTATTCATCTAATAGGATCATAGTGATTTCTTAACACTGATTGATTAGTTACCATGTGAATGACCTTACTCATTAGAACAATACATTTACTCAATAATCCTTTATTATTATTATTATTATTATTATTATTTAACTTTATAAGCCAAAATGATTAAATATCATTATTATATAACAGAAGTTGATAAAATATGAGAAGACCTAACAAGAGGTAGTTCAGAGTGATTTGTAGAATATACTAATCAAGATTTAGATGTATTAGGAAGTGAGTGTCAGTCATATCTGGTTACGACCAACTCTACTAACGATATATCCTAATAATTATAATTCATAAAAGTGTCATTTTCACTTATACGTCTACTACAATAGCTTACTTGAATATCTACACCACATGTTCATGCTATCTAGATATTTCAATAAGTTATCTGTTTTTGATTGAGATCATGAATCGACTGATGTTATACCACTATTGATAATCTGAAAGCACTGGATGACCGTTTCGTCCTATTGTGGGGCTCCTCAGCAGTGCGCATCCACGATCCCGTGTCGGGTAGAGACAGGTATCTACCTCAGTACAATGAAAGATGGTCGCACAATTTCGTGGATTGATTGATGTTAGACACTAACACTATTGGATGCCGGCTCAGTGGTCTAGTTGGTTAAGTGCCTAGAGCGAGACTGAGAGGTCCTGGGTTTGAATCTTGCGAGGAGCAGGATCGTGGATGCGCACTGCTGAGGAGTCCCACAATAGGACGAAACGGCCTCCAGTGTTTCCAGGTCTTCCATAGTGGTCTAGCTTCAATTGACTCATGATTTCAACCAGTGAAATTAAGTGGATATCCTGTTCAGATGAATTACTGAAAAAGTGTACAATATTGAATAAAGCTAATAATAATAATACATTGACAAATAATAGGTACCTATCATTGTGAAATTATCATTTCACTAGTAATGAAAACACATACCAAACTATTATTAACTTACTTAATTACGCCTGTAACCCACAATAGAGGAGCATAGACTGCCGATCAGCATTCTCTAACTCACACTGTCATGGGCCTTTCTTTGTAGTTCTATCCAATTGTTGTTCATTCTTCGTCTCATGTCTGTATCCCTTTCTCAGCGTAATGTGTACTTTGGTTTTCCTCTTTTACTTTGGCCTTGACGATTCCATGTGAGAGCTTGTCTTGTGACTCAGTTACGTGCTTTCCTCAATGTGTGTCTGATCCACTGCTTCTTCCTGATTTCTTCCTACGCTGGGATATGGTTTGTCCTCTTCCATAATAGGTTTTTGCTAATAGTGTCCGGCCAACGGATCCGGAGTATTTTGTGTAGACAACTGTGAATAAACACTTGTATCTTCTGGATGATGGCTTTCTAAGTTCTACAACTTTTCGCCTTATACAATAGAACCGTCTTAACATTTGTATTTAAAATTCCTACTTTAATGTTATTTGATAGAGAGTTGTTTTAATTTCCAAATGTACTTCAGTTGTAAATATGCTGCTCTTGCTTTACCGATTCACATCTTCATATCTGCATCAAATTGATCGTGTTCATAAATGATGCTGCCTCTACTAAACTATACTATCCAATAATTTAGTTTTTTCTTCTTTTTAAAAACTGAAGAACATCTGGAATTCAAAACGACTGTCAACCAAAATCAAAGTCAGAATTTTTAATACAAATGTCAAGACAGTATGGGGTGTAAACCCGGAGAACTACAAAAGCCATCATCCAGAAAATGCAAGTGTTTATTTACAGTTGTCTTCGCAAAATACTTCGGATCCGTTCACCAGACACTATCAGCAACAACCTACTATAGAAGAGAACAAACCAGTTTCCGGCAGAGTATGTAATCAGGACAAAAAAGTGCTGGAAGTGAATACGACACACATTGAGGAAAGCACCCAACTGAGTCACCAGGACAACGTTCACTTGACATCCTCAAGGCTAAAAGCGAAGACGAAGATCAAAGTACACAATACACCAAGAAATGGATACAGACATGAGGAGAAGAAGAAAAAGAATGAACAAGAATTGTTTAGAACTAGCAAGGAAGGCCGTTGACAGATTGAGTTGGAGAATACTGGTCGGCCGCTTATCCTTCTCCATTTTGGAGGTAACAGGCTTAAGTAAATAAGTAAATCTTCTTTTTAAAGATAATTATACCAAAATTATATAAATCATAGTACCTTTTGATTCATAATAGATTGTTATTATTGTTATTGTTGTTGTTATTATTGTTGTTGTTTTTATACTTTTTACCCTTCACTACTACTTATACTATCGTCCTTAAAGTGTCTTCTTTTTTCTTTTAGATTGACTATTGATTTCTAATCAAATAATTATTATTAATTTTTCTTTTTTTTTTCTTTTTTTCTTATGAATAAAACGTGAAAATCCAAAACAAACAAACAAAAAAAAAACAACAACATAATAATAATAACCAGTTTAGTCATGTGTTCTTTGATAAAACACTTTTTTTATTTAATCTCCATAGTGATATAAACGAGTGCACAATTACACTCTCTCACCTATACAATAATAACATGAATAGAGTTAAATATACATTGGGAACTATACAAGTTTAATAATCATATGCTTTTCAATGAAAATAATAAAATATTACTTATAAATTGATTAATCTGTAAATGATAATCAATAAATGAAGAAAAAAGAAAATTTCAATCGTTCAGATTAAGATTCAATGGAAGTTAGACCACTATCGCAATTTCGTGGATTGGTTGATGTTAGACACTAATACCATTAGATGCTGACTGGTTTAGTGATCCAGTAGGTTAAGCGTTCGAGCGCGAGACTGAAAGCTCTGGGTTTGAATCCCGCGAGAGGGATCGTGGATGCACACTGCTGAAGAGTTACATACTAGGACAAAATCGGCCGTCCAATGCTTTCAGGTTTCTAACGGTGGTCTAATATCAGTCAATTCATAATCTTAATGAAACACAATAGAAAAGTTGGAAGCACTGAATGGTCGTTTCGTTCTGTTGTGAGACTTCGCCGTGACAGTGAGCATTCACGATCCCGCAACCCCCCTCTGAGAGATTTCAACCTAGGACCTTTATTAGTCTCACATGTGAGCACTTAACTACTGGATCACTGAATCGGTCGGCATTCAACAGTGTTAATGTATAACTTCAAATAATTCATGAAATTAAGTGATGCATACACCATTGTCTTCATCAGTGAGTTACTATCTTACAATAGACTTGGTTGAACTCCACTGGTCACTTCTTTTCACAAGAACTCCAGAATACGCCTCTTGAAACCAGTCACTAGTGAGCATATGTTGATCAATATTAGAAGGGGTTTCTATGGATATTATAGTAATTTCAATAGTTCAGATCATGAATCAATTGAAGCTCAATACTGAATATTGGAATCAATATTAAATTGTATTAAGATAAATGGTTTAGTACATTGTTTGTTTGTTTTTTTCAACTAAGCTGTACATAATTATAATGAGTAAACAATTTCATTAAATAAGTTGATTAAAGGGAAATGTTGAATAAATAGTTGAATTGATGAGTTAACTAAAGTTAGACCATTATGGAAAACATGGAAGTAAATGGATGGTTGTTTTGTTGTAGTATAGAAGTGGTGAGCAGTACATATGGAAGATCTTACATGTGGGATTGGAATTAACGATCATACGTTTTACAAGTGAATGTTTAATCTCTAGACAACTGAGCTAGTATCCAACAATGTCATTGTTCAACTTCAACGATTCCAGAATATTACGCAACCGTCCATCATTGTCGGAGATTGATAACTGTATTCAATTGACACGGATTGAACTTTACGGCTTTTCACCAGAACTTCACGAAATTTATCATGAAGCTATTCACTAACGATTATGACTCAGTGGTCTAGAGGTAAGACGTTCGCGCACTAGACCGCAGATCCCGGGTTAGAATCCCACGAGCGGAATCATGGATATGTACTGCTAACCAGTCGCATATTAGGATAAAACTGCCGTCCAATACTCCTAGGTTTTCGATGTTGGTCTAGCTTAAGCTGACTCATAAATTCAACTATTAAATAACCAAAATCTCCACAAAACCCTTATCTGATGATAATCATCATGTGCTCACCAGTGACTGGCTTCAAGAGGGATTTCCTAGAGTTCTAATGAGAAGCCATTACCAGTGGAGTTCAACCGTGTCTGTTGTGAGATAGTAACTTACTGAAGGCAATGGTGAATGGTGGCATCGTTTCTTAAATTTGTTCAAGTTAGACATTAACACTATTGGATGTCAACTTAATGGTCTAGAGATTAAGAGTTCACGTGCGAGATCTATAGATCCTGGGTTCGAATCCCACATGCGGAATCATGGATGTGTATTACTCACCAGTCGCATACTAGGACGAAACAGACACCCAGTCCTTCCAGACTTTTCATAGTGGTCTAAGTCTCATTGACTCATGAATTCAACAATTAAACTACTAAAATCTCTAAAAAAACCCTTTTCTGATAAATGTTGATTTGAAGTAGACACCTGTTTCTACCCGACACGGATTAGCTCTACTGGTCACAACTCACCAGAACTCCGAGAATTTTCCCACGAACCTAGTCACTAGTGAGCACATTGTTATTATCAGTTTAGGCGTTGTGGAGATTGTCAAGTTTTTGATTGACATCATGAACCGAGTGATGTTAGACAACCGTTAGAAACCTGAAAGCACTGGACGGCCGTTTCGTCCTATTGTGAGACTCTTCGGCAGTGTGCATCCACGATCCCGCTCGCGGGATTCAAACCCAGAGCTTTCAGTCTCGCGCGCGAACGCTTAACTTCCTGGACCACTGAGCCAGTCGGCATCCAATGGTGTTAATGTCTAACTTCAACCAATCCACGAAGTTGCGCGACTATCTTCTATTGTACTGATGTAGACACCTGTTTCTATCCGACACGGATTAGCTCCACTGGTCATGATTTCTCACCAGCAATATTGATTTGTTTAATGAAATGTTTGTGTGTTAAAAGTTGATTCTATAGTATGAAATTTGTCAGAGATAAACATCAAGTTGGATTTATCCACTGGATTATCAATACTATGGATCATGTTTACTGTGTAACCATTAAACTAAGAAATAAACTTAACAGTAAAGTGTAAAGAAATCTCAATCATGAATAATGAATGGAGATTGATAAGAAACATTGTTGAAAGAAGTTTTGATTAAATTACAAATTATATGTCAATAGTGCATCAATCATTTAACACTTCTACTAATACCATTAATTAGTCACTAAGATGATTAGTGAATAGATTTCAGTAATGATCAATAAAATTTGACAAGAGATTAGTTACTATTCAATCACATTGACTAGTGGTATTCAGTCTAATCATAAACTATACAATTAAAGTTTAAATAGTTTATGGATAATAATCTAACTTAGGATAGTAATCCGTTGACCAGTCAATTATAAACAATGTGTAGTATGACATATAAGTACACTGTTACCATTGATCACAATTCATATGAATCTAAATAGAAAGAGTCATTGAGATAAAAGTCAAAGAAATCCAAATAACAATTTCAGTATGATAGTTATAAATATTAAACATTAAGGATATACTCATCGGAAAAGCAAGAGTAGCATATTTACAATTGAAGAACATCTCGAACTCAAAACAGCTATCTGTCAACCAACATCAAGGTCAGGATTTTCAATACAAATGTCAAGACAGTTCTATTGTATGGGGTGGAAACTTAGAGAACTACGAAACCAATCATCCAGAACATACAAATGTTTATTAACAGTTGTCTACACAAAATACTTCACATTCGTTGGCCGGACACTATTAGCAACAACCTACTGTGGGACAGAACAAATCAGATCCAGGGGGAGGAAGAAATCAGGAAGAATCGCTGGAAATGGATCAGACACACATTGAGAAAAGCACCCAGCTGAGTCAAAAGACAAGCTCTCACATGGAATCATCAAGGCTAAAGTAAAAGAGGAAAACCAAAGAACACATTACGCCGAGAAATGGAGATAGACATGAGAAAAATCAACAAGAACTGGATGGAACTAGAAAAGAAGGCCTATGATAAGGTTGGGTTAGAGAATACTGGTCGGTGGCCTATGCTTCATTAGGAGTAATAGGCGTAAGGAAGTAAGTAGGATATACTCCTTGCAAACATCCAGTGAAGGTAATGATCTAGAAGACAATAAAGAACGAAAAAATCTAAGCCACTGCAATCGATTATAAGCCATATTGTATGATTTTTTGAACTTTGGATTAGAATTATTCAAAGGGTTTTGAACAAGATATTTACATCATCTGATATGATATCGAACAAACATTGACAGCTGTCAGTATTGATCTAATCCTTTAATCTGTTTTTTTTTTGCTAACCTACT